GGTGTGTCAATGAAGTTTACAATCTTTAAGATTGGACAAGTATGGGTCTGATGCTACCTTGTATGGGCACGCTCATCTATGAGCAGAATGACTAGTGTGGCTAGGCAATGCCATTGGTTCTGCTGGAGTGTTAATGAAGTTGGGAAATACTAATGATGAGGAAGTGTGTGCTGGTGATGGAGAATGTGGTAATGGTGATGGAGAGACTCTCTCACTTATAATGACATAGTGAGGATGAGGAGAGAAGATGGGGATTCTATTAGGACCACCTGGGGCAGTGGTTTGAGGAATGTGTTTATAGCACATGAAATCAGAAGGACAGCCACCAGTATTTGGCATTTCAAGAGAAGTCTGCATATAATGGAGTGGGGATGGTAATGGTTCAAGTTAAAGAGGGATTGAGTTGATGTTATGACCAACGTCCCTTAACCTAACTAGTAGGTGTCTGGAGATCGGACCACACCACAGGACTCGTCTGAGAGAAGAATAACAAGGGGATAGTATTGAGAGGGAACGTCTAGGTCTATGATGACGTAAGAACGAAGAGGTTAAGTCTAAGGAGTACTACTGACTACTACCTAGACTATATACTATGTATTGGGTCGGAGAATCTGAGTATGAAAGGTGGTGATATATCTATATACGGTCATAACATTGCACCTAGGGTATAGGGCTTCTTACCAACCAATCAACTACAAGAAAGGGTCCATAGGGTTTAGGGGTATCAGTGATTAAGCAGGGTCTCAGGGTACTGCTTCTATTCAGGGTGAATGGATATGAAGAAGTGAGAGAGTTCTGTGACAAGAAGTCTCGAGCGGTGATTTAAGGATCTCGATAAGGGGTAGGGTCTGGAGATGCATCGAGTTTGATTGGATCTAAGGGTTTCTCTAGGGTCTTTGGTAATGAGCATGCTTCTCTATGAGTGGTGCTTCTGTGATAGGGGTTCAGGGTTTAGCTGTGACTGTGCAACAGGTTCCGATGTAAGGGGTTCGGTGAATGACAGAGGTAACTCTTAACGTGTCATGTGTGGGAAGTGAAGGTATGCAACGTGAAGAGGTGATGACTTTGAGAGATGGTTCGATCATAGAGGTGTGCTGATGCTTATGATGTAGCCGGTGCCTAATCATAGGACTTCTAAGGATGTGATGAGTGTCGAATGTTTAGGGTTACGGATATGGATGGATGATGTTGATGTAGTATAGATGTGAATTGAAGATAGTGATCGTTAATTGGTTATCCATCTTATCTTATCAGGGATCTTATCTACTCTAATCTTATCGGATAGGGTGACTTAGGGTTTGATAATCGAATTTTAGATGCAGTAGGGAGCATTCATGACAGTTGATGTGCCTGTTTATATTCATTCAGAGTTTCAGCGGAGTTGGCTAAATCAGACTCCAACAATCCTTTCATTATCTGCCAAAGGGTAACCTTTCCATTTAATGAGATAATGGTGTCTTGATATTGATCCTTTGTGCCCAAGGATAGCTTCCACCTCATGTTCTTCTTCTATGTCTATAAGATCCGGTGGAGGCATTAGGAAGTTCAGACCATGTTCCTTGTTTCATGATAAGGAGTTAGGAGGGCTGTGTGAAATACCGAATGTACACACCATTGGTCCAGAAGTTTGAGACAATAAGTGACTGGTCTGAGAACTTCTGAGATAGTGAAGGAGCCCTCTTGTTTGGGTGTGAGTTTCCTGTTAGGATATCTGAGATGAAGGTTCTTTGCTTCTAGCCAAACTTTGTTGCCTTTCTTAAATGGGGTAAATGAACGGGCGATTCTTTGCTTCATGGTTTGTCTGACAAGTTTGTGAGAGGATAAGGCTTCTTCTCAAGCCTTCTGGAGTTCTGATATTCTTGCCTCTACAGCTGGGAGATCCAATTTTTTCGGTAGCCAATGGAAGGGCTTGTGGGTGATAACCCATCCTGAGGTAGAATGGCAATGCATTGCAAGTGGAGTGATGTTGGGAGTTATGGACAAATTCTGCCATAGGGAGCATTTCTGACCAGGATGTCTGATCATTAGAGCAGAAGATATGAAGGAATACTTCTAGTTCTTTGTTTACTTATTCAGTTTCTCCATCAGTTTGAGGGTGAAATGCAGTGGATAGTGCTATCTTGTATCCAAGTAATTGTCCTAACTCCTGTGTGAATTTGGCTGCAAACTGTGGTCCTCTGTTGGAGATAATTTTATCATAGAGACCAAATTGTGTATAGACATGTTTAAAGAATATATCTGCTACTCCTTCTGTGTTGATAATGCAAGGCATGATAACTGCCCCCTTCATAAGCTCATGGTCTACCATGACCATGATAGAATAAAAGCCATTCAATGGAGGCAGATCAGTGATAAGATCAACCAAGCAGTGGGCAAAGGGGCAGGAAGAGATTGGGGTGGGAATAGGATAAAGTGGGGGTGCAGTTGGGTGGGTGTTGACCTTGTTCTGCTGACAAACCGCACAACCTTCAATGTACTTCTGGACAAATATTGGCAGTCCAGGCCACCAATAATCGTGAGAGAGCAATTCCTGGGTTTTAAAATGACCAGGGTGGTCAGCAGTAGGACTGTCGTGGTGCAGAGTAATAAGTTCCCTGCGCAGTGGTCCTGGAGGTACATAAGCGCAACCTTTGAACATCAGGATGTCATTTGTGAAAGTCCAGTTGGAGAGTGTGGTTTTCATCAGGAGGAGAAAGGAGGGATTAGATAATGTGTCAATGGTTTTCTGAACCACAATGTCAATGGAAGAAGAGACATGGAGTTTATTCTGCATGGCAGTGTCAATTAAGTCAATAAATAGTCTGTCTGGCAACATGGTAACGTCTGAGTTGTCAGTGGCATTGAGTGGTATATGATCAGCTTGGCAGGATAGAGAGTCGGGCACAGAAAGATCTTTGCCAGATACATGTTGAAGTTGCAAGTCAAAATGGGAGAGAAAGAGGAGTCAACAAGCTTGTCTGCGATTCAATTGTTAAGCTTGGCAGAAATATGTCAGATTCTTGTGGTCAGTCATGACAAGGACTGGGAATGGGGATCCTTCAAGGTAGTGATGCCAAGCTTCCAAAGCTCATATAATAGCAAGTAATTCTCTGTTGAAAATCTGATAGTTGCGTTTGGCAGGGGAGAAGGTTTGGGAAAGGTAAGAGCAAGGATGCCAATTGCCATTGGTGTCTTTCCGAAGAAGTATGCCTCCCATAGCATAAAGGGAGGCGTCAATGGCAATAGCAAATAGAGTGTCTTTGTTAAGGATGGAAAGTACAGGGGCAGAGAGAAAGTGATTCTTTAGGTCAGCAAACACTTGTTGACAACTGTCAGACCAATCAAAGATCACGTCTTTCTTTGTAAGATCAATGAGTGGTCTAGCAATGGTGGAATAGTCAGCAATGAAGCGTCAGTAGAAGTTGGCAAATCCAAGGAATGATTGAACATGTTTGATGGTAGTGGGTTATTCCCACTTGACTACACCATCTAACTTGACTTTGTTCATACAGATATAGCCAGGGCAGATTAGGAGACCAAGGTATTCAACTTTATCTGTGTTGAAGACACATTTTCCGGGTTTTAGGGAGAGTTGGTGGTCATGGAGTCATTGTAAAACTCTGGCTGTTTGTTTGTGATGAGATTCAATGTCTTTTGAGAATATGAGAATATCGTCCATGTAAATGACCATTCAACCTTTGTCTAACATATCAGAGAAAATGATGTTCATCATTGCTTGGAACGTGGCTGGGGTATTGTAAAGACCAAAGAACATGGCCATGGGTTCAAATAGACCACATGACATTTTGAATGCAGTTGGCAAAAATGATTCATAAGTTAGCTCACATTTTTGATTGAATACTTTTCTAATATAATCCTCACTGTTACTGTCATATACCGGATCCAGGTACCTCCAATACCACCTGTGAACATCCCCACCCCTGGTCCGACCCCCTGTTTTTCCATCCGCCCCATCCCTCCTTCCCTGACAATGCACGAAGTGCATCCCAGCAGGACTAGCCCTGCTACCTCTGCCCGACCCCATTCTGCTTCTCTGACACTACTCCTATGTCCTCCGACACTATACCCTTTCCATCCGACCCTATCTGGGGTTCTGCTCCTCCACCCGATCCTACTCCCTCCGCTTTTCCGACCCACTCGGTTCCTTCAGTTCCACTTGTGTTGCCCCACCCAATGATTAGTCCACCCGACTGCCTCACCGGTCCACTCCTAGACTAGGAACCACTCAACTGGTCCTATCCCCGTTTAGTATCATAGTTCCGCTTTTCGGATCATCGGTAATCCCTATACCCTAGCGATTCTGATCTGTCACGTACATACTGTTCCTCCGTTCCTCCGTCCTCCGTTCCTCCGTTCCTCCGTTCCCTCCGTTCCTCCGTTCCTCCGTTCCTCCGTTCCTCCGTTCCTCCGTTCCTCCGTTCCTCCGTTCCTCCGTTCCTCCGTTCCTCCGTTCCTCCGTTCCTCCGTTCCTCCGTTCCTCCGTTCCTCCGTTCCTCCGTTCCTCCGTTCCTCCAACTTCCCATGAGTCGGAACTAAACCCCACACTCTTGCATCTGTCCCCTCCATTCTGCTCTGCTTCAGACTTCGTCCAAGCAGTCCCTTCCACTCCGCTTCTACTGTTGGTTCCAACCACAGTAGTCCCCGCCTCCCTCCTGTCGGGCAGAACAACCCCCGCCCGACTTTTCTGCACTCACCTAGTAGTCTGTTGGTCCTCCTTCAGAGGACCCCCGTTCCAACGTCTTGTCGGCACTCATAGAACTCGTGTCAGACTACATTCTGAAATTAGGGGCATGTACTCGGGTAAGGGGTGCAGCGTATGAGCTGAAGCCAAGCCCCTCAGACTCTGTTTTACCCCTGAGCATGGTCTTAACAGTTACACAGAATGCAAACATGCATGAACTATCCCCCATCTCTACACCCTCCTTTGCCAATTCTTATTTGAACAAGTGAACCCAGATGACCAGCATGCTCCCTCCAACATCCCACTTGCAAGATGTCCTCAATTCAATGGTAAAATTCAAGTGTTCAACTCTGCATCTTCAATGTTCTATGCACCCAGCAACCACAGCGGGATTGGCAGCATGCACTGGGAACACATTTGTGCCTGTCCTATTTCAAAAAATGAGGCACCCTGGTATGAGTGCATGTTTGTTAACACAGATGCAGGTTTGAAGGGATGGGGGGAATGGAGATAGCCCATATAATGTGTTTTTTCTCATTCATGTTTGAAGATATTTTGTACCCATGCACTGTAGTACACTGTTTTGACAAAGCCAGTAATGGGCCTGACGAAGACATGGGGATGTGGATCATCAAGCCTTCATTTGATATGGATAATTTGCCATTCATTGGAATCACTCACATTGATTCAATCTATCACACTGCACACCTTATCCCAATCTATGGAGTGTAGATCATCTCATGCAACCTCAAGCACTATGATTCATACAATGCTTTTCAAGCATTCTATGTGAACAAATTTGCAGACCATCACATGTTCGAGATTGCATCTAGGCAACTGTAAGAGTACAGGTACTGTTGGGGTACAGGTCCAGGTCCAGTGTTGGTGTACCTGTACCCATGGTGCAGGTTTTGGTACCATAGGTGACCATTACCAAATTTGCTAATAGCCATTATCCCAGGAAGCTGGAAAGTTGTTGTTCACTCATTCAAATCTGTTGTCCATCTCAAGTTCAAAGTTTGTATGTACTATGAGGCCTGTGCAAGTTGATGGAGAAATGTGCTGGTGATACTGTACTAATACAGGTATGTTTGATTCATATCTTTGTACTAGTTTTTAATTTCTCACACTTGCCTTCAAGTTCATTTGTCTGGACTTGCCTACACTTCTTTTCACTCCCTTTGACTTGTCTGCATTTGTCTGGGCTTGCCTGCACTTATTTTCACTTGCCTGTACTTGTTTGGACCCATCTGCATTCATCTTGACTCACCTGTATTTGTCTGGTGAATGTATTGTCTTATGTTGAGTACTACTCTCAAAGACAGAAGTTCGGAATTTTTAAAAACTTGTGAACATGCTTTGATAATAAATCAGTGTTGAGGGTAGGAGGAAAGTGGAGTTAAAAGAGGCTCTACTGTCATAATTATTGATACAATGCCAGGCATCATAGAACAACAGTTATGCATACTTACCTAGGATCCCCAACCCCCCATACAGTATGCATACAGGGGAGAATCCCTTGAGGAAGCATACAGGAAGCATACAGATGGGAAGCCTGCCTTCTGGAACTTCTCAGGCATCTCTGTATGCCCTAATTAGGATATACCAAACTATTGCTCTAAAAATACCACCAGCATGGTGGCTGGAACTTCTTGGGCATCTCCATGTGCCCTAATTAGGACATACCAAAACTGTTACTCTAAAAATACAATCAGCATGGTGGTTCTCTGGATTCATTTCCCATTTTGCGCAATCAGCATATCCCAAACAGGACGGCACCCTTCTTCACAGCTTCTTTCACTAAATCTTGGGTCTTGCCTTGTGGAGTTTAAACTAACCTTGTCCTCTCCTCAAGTCAATGTCTGAAATCCACATGATGAAGGTTTGGCAAGAACACATACTTATTGCCTGCCTGTCAGAATCTCTTCTCTTTATCAAAATAAAACTTGAAAGTTTCTAGTTGTATGTATGTATCTTCATTGTGACTTTGTGTTGTGAGTTATGAGTGACTTGGATGAGCCTTGGCATTCAATGTTGCAAGAAATCAAGATGTATTTTCAGGAACATTATGATAATACAAAAGATGTAAATTATGTGAGTACTATGCCACTATCATGTCATGAAGACTGCATGCCATGACAAAAAGGACAAGAAATGAGTCAGTGGGTGAAAGTTTGTATCCACTGCTCATGGAGCCGACTTGCATGACCTGAATCAAGACATTATAGTCTGAATGAACAAGCAAAGAAAGACAACTTACTTTTGTGCCCTTTTGTGAGTGCCAATGCTATTGGCTTCTTGTCACAAGTTCCCCAAACAAACCATTTTTCCTACCTTAATATAGCATCTAAGTTTAAGTGCCTAAGTCATGTGACCACTTCACCTCTTCATGCACATCACATATATCACCCTTCATCCTGTCAACCAGTTACAGAATCACCAGTACCCTACGCCCACATCTCTCCCTTCATATCACCAATTGCATCTCCAATCAAAGTAACGATCAATCTTCCTTCTGTTGGATCTTGGATCTCCATCTCAGATAAATCTTCTATTTTAATCTCTGTCTCTTTTCTTCCATTACAATTCAGATCTCTTATCAGAAGCCACTGCTATCTATATGTTCCTTTCTGATTACAAACCCTTATGCCTGATAGGCTTCTCATTAGTTACCTTTCTCATCCTGGTCCGTGCATGATTCTCATAGTATATAAACCCTAGTAGGAAGTCAGTAGTTCTCTAGTCTAAACCTCTTGTACTTTCCCTGAGAATCTACTTGATGTCTATCACTCACTCCCTTCTCATGTGAGACTCTAGATGAAGGAGTAAGTTGGCCAGGATAAGGAGGCAGCATTGGGAGGGACATTTGTTGCTGTTAGTCGACATTGTCTTCTGATTTGATTGTGTAAAGTGTATGTTCAGACATCATAGGAGGCTCAATTGAGGCCCCTGCACCAGCATTACCTTTATAAAGTGTGTTATTGGACATCATAAATGGCTCCAGTGATGTGCTGAAAAATCACAGGGAGTTGTCAAATGATTGATCTTGGGGGAGTTGGCGGATCTCATCAGGAAGCACACTGTGCACTGTGGAGGAAGCATGGGGATACTGTGTGATGGCCACTGAATGCAGATTGATAATAGAGTGGTGTGATGGGGAATGCAACACTTAAGTGTCTGCTGGCAGAGTAACATCAGGCAGCACAGAGTTTGTGGTGTTGGGTTGTGGGGGAAGGACTTTGATAGCAAAGGTGCCCTTTAGGAATGTGGTAAATGGTTCGACCATATGTGTGTGATGATCTGGAAGTGCTTTGCAAAAACTGAGGCCAGTAGACCCCTTCCCATGGTGAAAGCTGCAAATAACATTATCAGTATCAATGTGGTAGGCATGCTGTATGTTCTTACTTGAAAACACGAACATCCCCAGCCACACGTGGGTCTGGTCCTCCAAGGTAAATACTCTCATACCAGCCAGTAGTTTATTGGATAGTCTGTAGAAGCTGGTCAACTACAGCACTGAGGCCTTTGATGTACCTGCATGAACATGAACTTCATATATTAGCATGTTTTTGGGGATGTACTTACTGCACATGCACTGACTCATTAGGATTGCACAGAGCCTCAAGCTCAGCCTTCACCTTCTCAGCATGGTGCTCACACTCCATTTTTGCCTCCAACTCCATTTTCTTCATGTATTCTTGTCCACAAGCAGTCATTGCCTTGGCTGCTTTCATATGTGATTCTGTCAGGTGTATTCACCATTCTTCAATTGAGACTCAATATCTTCCTTAACCAAGTTCCCAGACTGATACTCAGTATGAATGAAGTGTTCAATGGTGGTCAGCCCATGTGTGCACTTGGTGGGGGAGCCCATCAACTTTATGATAGTTTTGGTAAATTGTGTGACTCGAGCCCACCCCATGGCTGAGGCATTGCAGTAGAAGTAAGAATGTAGTTGCTGATATTTGGTATAAGCAATCAAATATGAAATTACAACACAATACACTTATGGTCTTGCACTACTTAAGATGGTGTCCTAAGCTAACATGTTGCTCTTTTGAGTGCTGTTCTTCCATAAGTCTGATGCCTGTTTCATCCTTGAAGTGCACCACAGCCATGGGCCACTTTGCAAACCATTGAGCATTTGCCTCTGACAAGTATATAGAAACATTGCTCTGCATCTGGCTCAATTGAAACCCATCCATCTTCTCTGACAGCCAAGCCAATTGTTTGTGTGACATCCACAAGGCTTCAGGTGTTACAGCAAAGCCCAGCTTTGCCAACAGTACACTTGATGGGGTCAATCCTGTGTCTACAACGCTTATGAAGCATCAAGGCGGTGGAAGACTGGATGAAGGCTGTTTATCCAGAATGACTTGAGCCCTGCATCAGACCGGATACAAGAGTCATAAATCACAAGTGAAGATCAAGTTAGAGAATACATGGTCTAACTACGGGGGTATATATAGGTATAATCTTATGAGTTCAGGGGAGGTCTATCTAACCAGAAAGCATCCAAAGTAGGTAAGTGTCTATGTGAGTCATAAGGACTCAGAGATAAGGTCTATCAGTGATAAGGGTTACCAGTCAGTTGGTAACAATAAGAGTGAGTCATAACTGGCACAGTGGTAGGTGCTCAGGGATGATAAGAGATAAGAATAGAAGTGTACAGCTTCTATGTTTCAAGGGGTGACTGCAGTCATGATAAGTGATAGTCATTACCGGTGTATCGGTAGGGGTGATAAGGAAGAAGCACATGGCTTCTATTGATCCTGGTCTAGGTCGAGTCTAGAGCTGTCATGCACCAACAGCTGTTATGCTGTGTTCTGCAGTTTAATCATGTGCCAGTGATGTCATCTGTCACGTGTTGTGACAGCGACATTTGGTGGAGATGATTAACACCAGGCATCTGATCAACTGATATTAACCTCAAATGAATAACATAAGTCTGCATTTGGCACGTACCTTGTGTTTTTTACTCTCAACTCCACAATAGTGACCCAGAGTATGGTATGCAAACTCACTTGGACAGGATTTGAACCTTGATTGGTAATCAACCAATGAGCTCTCATTGATAAGTGGAAGATACCAAAACATATTAAACCTGCCACCAAATGCATCAATAATTACAGTTCATTACCCACATAATAGTGGTACTCAAAATAAAAAAACTTTTGAAAACTCGCTAAGACGCCGGCTAAACACTTCAAACTCTTGGTTTAAGAACTCTTAAATGACACTCAGCGAGTCAGCATGAAGTCGGACATTAAAACACTTAGCATTTTCAAAGTGTGATATATACACAGGAGAAAGTCTTACTTTAGAGAGGGTAGAAAAAGTAACCGTGATGTAGGTTCGCGACAAAGTAGTAGATGCTCCAATGCACATCATATTTTGAGTGTCAACTTTAAATAAAATTGTAAAAAAAAGAACAAGCCCCCCCCAAAAAAAACAAACTGGCCATAGGTAGGGAGTGCCAGAAAGAATGAACCAATTACTAAGGGGGGAAGGATGAGAGGGGGAAAGACACCAGGTACCATAGGTAGGGAAAGCCAGGACAGAACAAGCCAAGTAATATTAAGGGGGGGAGGAGGAGGGGGAGAAAGATACTGGGTACCATAGGTAGGGAAATGAAAGAATACCAGGTGAAGGGTGAACTCTTTCCCAAGCGCTCCTTCTCCAGCTCGATATCTGCGGCCACTTTAGATACAGCGTCTATAGTCAGTGCTGGGCCTTGTGCAAGATCAGCAAGAGCCTCGAGCCAGCCGGATCAGAATGAATGCAAAGACGGCTCCTCTAGAAGGCTGGTGTAGAAGTTGGTGGAGGGGCGGCTCAAAGATGAGGCACTGGGGGTCATGTGGTATGGGACCTGCCAGACAAGAATAGATTTCCTGTCAAATAAAAGTTAGCTGCAACTTGAAATAAACAAAAAAAAAACTTACCTTGGGTGGATGCCACCTGGAAATGTGATGATGTCCGGCTCAGTGCTACGAAGTGAGCATCGACGTTTGAGAGTGAGGTTGACGACGGCAGCAACATGCTCAGCGCGAGAAACAAAAGTTCGGATCTTTCTGAAAATTAAAACTCTGACACAAACTACGTCACATATGCATGGAATAGATAGGAGTTTTGATCCCCCCCCTTCCGTCTGACTGTAACTATGCCTCATCAATCTACACAGTAAAGAAATCCTGGATATTGTGGATCAGGCTACACTTTCATTGGCCAAACTACAGTACCAGGATATTCTGGACGATTTGTCTGACTCTGTCAGTGATTTTGGCACCGACTCTGAGTCCGACTCTGAGGACTCACTTTCTTCTACTTCAGATGATATTAGCACTATCAATCTGTCTTTTAGCTCCCTTTCACTCCCCTCCCCCCTCTCCCCTATGACAGGGATTTCGGATTCTTCCAGTGATAGCTCCGTATCTTCCAATGATTGTGCTTCGCCTTATGACAGGCTCCATGACACCATTGCTGCTTTACATGACGAGGTTGAGAGGGCATGTGTACTCCACAAGCCTGATGAGCCTCCCCCACAAGCTCCTCAGCTTCATATGCTGGTTCACCATGAAGAACACTGCCCCGAGTTGTTTCAGCAGAAACTTTGAGTCAACCCAGAGATTTTTGATGATATTCTTGATCATATCTCTGGTCACCCTATTTTTCAAAACAGGTCCAACAATCCTCAGCTCCCTATCTCTATTCAGCTTGCCATTTTCCTGAATTGGGCTGGCCACTATGGCAATGCCATTACTCTTCAGGATGTCGCTCAGTGGGCGTGTGTGAGTGTCAGGTCTGTGGTTAATTGCACTCATCGTGTGATGGTCGCAGTACTTGATGCCCATGATCAGTTTATCTGCTTCCCCACAGCTGACTCTGAGGACATTGACCTGGCTCATAAATTTGCTGAGTCACATACTTGTCCCAAGTGGAAGGGTGGCTTTCTGGCTATTGATGGCTCAACCATGGATCTTTTGCTAAACCTGGCTATTACAGGGAGACATTTTTTGATAGGAAATCCAAGTATTCCCTGGGCTGTCAAGTATATTTTATTTTATTTTTATGTGCTCAAAATCAATTCAATTTCAGGCTGTGATTTTGCCCCATAACCTCCTAATTGTTGACTATTCCCTTGGTCATCCTGGGAGTGTCCACGACACATTCACATTTTGATCTACCCACCTATATGAAGAGCATGCTGACCTGCTGCCTGATGACCATTGGGTTTGGGCAGATAGTGCATATCCATTGGAGCCATGGTGTATTGTCCCGTTCAAGAAGCCTTGCAATGGACAATTAACAAAGGACCAGAAGATGTTTAATTATCACCTCTCTAAGGTTTTTTTTTGTGGGTTTTTAATGAATTTAAATTTAAATTTATTTAGATTTGTGTTCATGTTGAACACACATTTGCTGTCTTGAAGGGGCGGTTCCAGTCCCTTCGAGAACTCCACTTCTGTATTCAGGCTGTCAAAGACCTCAAATTTGCGGTGCAGTGGATTAAGTGTTGTATCATCCTGCACAACATGATCATTCACTTCAAAATTCATCACCAGAAGCAAGATGGAACATACAAGAGCTCTCTCAATTGGGCTTGTGATGAGGGGGAAGACTTTTTTGTTCAGGAGCCTGAGGGTCTAGATGGTGATGAAGTAGTCGGTGACAGGACATATGAAGGCACTCCAGGTCAGGGTGCTCGTGCAAAGCTGATGTATATGCTCTTTGATAGTCCTCACTCAAATGCCCAACATAGAGCAGAATAATTTCTTTCAGATCTAATTTGACATGTACTACCACAAATGAATCTGTACAACATATGTATATGTAGCTATGTAACATATGAAATAAATATAACAGCAATGACAAAAAACATGATAATAACAAACAAGACTCAATGAAACAACAACAAATGAGATGCAATGATGACACATGAGATGTGGTGACGGCAAATAAGAAGCAGTGATGGCAAACAAGAAGCAGTGATGGCAAACAAGATGTGGTGATGACAAACAAGACACAATGAACGAAACACAACAACGACGAACGAGCTCACACATCCGACCCCAAGTCCTTTGTGGCCTGCATCATCTGCTGGAATTGTATCTTGAGCCGTAAAGTTTCAGCCTCCTTGTCGAGCACAAGAGAATGTGCTTCATGCACCTGTATGTCCACCTCACGAAGGCGAATCTCGGCATCTCTGTCCTTCTGTTGGCACTGATGGATGAGAGCCGCTTGATTGACCTTGTGTTTGCAGTTGGCATGAAGCCAGTCATACTTCTTGGTGTCCCGCTGGTGCTCACTCTTTGTGTCAAGCTTTGCGAGAAACCGTTGATGCTTGCTCTCATGGTGTGACAGGGTGCTGGACTGCAGGCTCTCAATCCCGTCCCAGGACTAGGTCTACCTTCTGCATGATGTCAGACTTGGCTTTTTTCTTCGAGCTGCCTGCACTGTTTGGCAATGACGTCTGCGGAGTTGGAGACATGTGGCAGTCTGACGATGACGATGATGTATTGTGCATTGTCGACGAAGGCATTGACATGCTGCGTGTGATGTCTGACGGCAGCTTGCCCCACCCCCTACGACTCAGTGGCCTCTGTGCACCAAACACCGAGCGGCTGTCATAAAATGAGGCCGGGGACTTGGGGGGTACTTCAAATGGCTGGGGGGCATGGGGGGGGGAGAGGGTGATGCAGCAAGCTGCCATTTCTTCCCTGCGACTCAGGGAGGGCTGTTGAGAGTGCCGGTGCCATCTAACATCATGTCGTTGTTATTGTTGTTGTCGTTAAGGTGGTCCAAAGTGTCTCCAAGGGGGACGTCAAAAGGGCTTCTCTCCAAGTTGCATAGGGAGGGAGGTATGAAATTGTCCTCAATCTCGACATCAGGGGAATCCAGGCTACGAAGGTGTAATGGAGGGGGAGCAGGGGGAGCAGGAGCAGGAGTGTCATGAATGTTACCAACTGCATCTAAATTTCGATTATCAGACCCTAAGTCACCTATCCGATAAGATAAGATTAGATAAGATCCCTGATAAGATAAGATGGATAACCGATTAATGATCACTATCTTCACATCACATCTATACTACATCAACGTCATCCATCTATATCTGTAACCCTAGACATCCAAAGTCATCACATCCTTAGAAGTCCTACGATTAGGCAACCGGCTACATCATAAGCATCTACACGCCTCTATGATCGAACCATAACCGAGAGTCCTTTACTGAGTCATCTCTCGAAGAGTCATCATCCTTTCACATCGCAGACCTTTACTTCCCACACATGACATGTTAAGAGTTACCTCTGTCATTCACCGAACCCCTTACATAAGAACCTGTTGCACAGTCACAGCTGGAACCCTGAACCCCTATCACAGAAGCGCCACTCATAGAGAAGCATGCTCATTACCGAAAACCCTGGAGAAACCCCTAGATCCGATTGTACCCGATACATCTCCAGATCCTATCTCTTATCGAGATCCTTAATCACCGCTCGAGACTTCTTGTCACAGAACTCTCTCACCCTTCTTCATCTCCGCTTACCCTGAATAGAAGCAGTACCCTGAGACCCTGCTTAATCACTGATACCCCTAAACCCTTATGGACCCTTTCTTGTAGTTGATTGGTTGATAAGACGCCCTATACCCTAGGCACAATGTTATGATCTTATATAGATATATCACTACCTTTCATACTCAGATATCTCCGCCTAGAGAGTAGTATATAGTTTAGGTCGTAGTCAGTAGTACTCCTTAGACTTAACCTCTTCGTTCCTACCTTGTGTAGACAGAGACGTTCACTCTCAATATCATCTATTCTCCTATCCTTTGACGAGTCCTAGTGGTTGTGGGATACCTTTACCAATCGGTGAACGTTGATCATAACAAGGAGCCACTTGATGGATCTCGACATCAGGGGAATTCAGGCCACAAAGGTGTAATAGAGGGGGAGCAGGAGCAGGAGCCGCTTGACATAGTTGTGGATCAACTGGGGGATCACCATATGGGTGTGCCGCTGGAGGGACTCCAGGTGGATATGCGGCAGGAGGAGGCATATTATGTGCACCGATCAAGGGACCAGCCCCATGCAGTTGAATGAGTGAGTAAAGAGCGGCAGCGTGGTCAATACCGGGCTTGGACGAATGAGTTTTGGCAGCCATTGAAGGATTGGCATGCCATATGGCGTCAAGCTCCATGTACCATGGGAGCTCCACAAGAACGGAGTCTACAAAGGTTAATCAGCCCACCGAAAGAACAGACGGGACAAAAGACTCACCCAGCAAATTTTTTGAAGCCGTCCCATCAAGCGGCATTACACCAGTGCCTGTCTCGCTGAATTGGGCCTTGAGCTTCTTGTATTTTGATCTGAGACTTGAGGGATTTGATCAGCGTATGTACACATAAGAAAACGAGAACTCACTTTGTGATGCAATTAGAGACTGCATTGTGGAACTTCTTCTGATTGTGCTGGTATGCCTGGTCATACTTTGGGTGGCTGGTAAAGATGACCTTGGCAATAACGGTGCAAATCTGCCCCTTGTCCAAGCCCGAGGGCTGGTCATCAACAGGGGACATGGCTTTCTTCCCATTGGAATAGAAGAGTATCCTGCAATCAGCAGGGTGAGCAGTTAGATAGTTTACCAATACATCAGTCAGGGCGCTTTCACTCTGCCACTGGATGGTGAGTCTGGGTCCAGGTGATTCAGAAATGCTGGTAGAATGTCCCTCAGAGGACGGTATGGAAGGTGCTGGGGGATCCATCACCTTTGAGTGCACTCGAGTGTCAGCTTGAAGTCTTGCAGAATGGCATACACGTTGATGAGCAGGAGGCATGCTGTTTGAAACTCTGCCCTGCTGCACTTGCCTGACTTTGAATTCTAGGTCATTGGCCAAGGCTTTGGCGAAGAGTTGAAAGTGTTTAGCCGGCATCTTAGCAAGTTTTCAAAAGTTTTAAAACTTATTTTGAGTACCACTAATGTTTACCCATCAGTAATACTTCTGCCTTGCTTGTTCGTTTAAAATAAAGGTCTTCCCCAACTTTGTCAAGGAGCAGACTTTCAGTCTGTCCAAACTTGCAAGCATGGTGTGGGTGAGGAAAATAGACTCTGGGTGATTCAGAAGTCTAACAAGGGTGCGAGACAAATACTTGTCCCAAGAGGATTGCTACTGGGTAGTGAGTCCTCAAGTAAGTGCAAGGAAAGCAAAGACTAGACTCTGTCTAGCAACCTGAAGGGTTCCAGTCCCTACTAGGACTGGGAATGCACTTATGCAGAAGGTACACGACAAGCGGAACAAAGCGCGCAATGAACGGAACAAGCGCGCAACAAGCAGAACTAATGCACAACAAGCGGAACTAACACGCAACAAGTGGAACAAACAGAACTAACACACAGAACAAACAGAACTAACAGAGGGAAAAGGAAACTATGAGCCTGTACAAGGAAGATTGGGTGAAGTTGGACCAGGCTTGTGTCTGGTACTTGCTCCAAGTCGTCGGATCCAATGTTGGGCATTTCGAGCAGAACTCATGGATGCGGGAGCATTGTGATGAGATCAGGAATAGATTCAGGAAGATATTTTAAACAGTGAGTGGAGTACTGCGAAGTACTCTGTAAGTGGAAGTTGAGTCGAGTCTATCAAAAGGTAAAAAACTAAGATCCCATCTATTGTTATCTATATAGGAAGGGGTTCCAACAAGCACTATGCTACAACCGGGTGAGGCTGTGAGATAAGGAACCAGTTCCAAGTAGCAGAAAGATCTGTATAAGTATTATAACACATGTGAAATGAGATAGCAACATGTCAGTAACATGGGGAACGTAGCGAGGACTCACCAGTGAGGATGGAAGGATGGGGACAGGATGGAGGAGGACGTTCTGAGGGCTAAAGAGATATAATGGGTGTGGTGTGTGGTTGTTCCGCTTGGTTCCACTGTGTTCCGCTTGGTTACATGTAGCGGACGGGTCGGATATAATGTGGGTGGGTAGTGGAACAGTAGCAGAATGCTGTTAGGTACCAGTGCCAGCTCAAGAGGCAGAGGGGTCGGGGCTTGGCTTCAGCTCTTGCGCTGCGCCCTTAGCCGAGTACATGCCTTGAATTTGGAGCGGGTCCGACGTTGTCCGACGATAGGACGAATGGTCTGCTTTGGTCCGCTTTGAGGGTCGGGGAGTAAGAGCTGCTAGCGGTGGGCCGACTAGGAGCGGAGCAGAGAAGACGGGGGTTGATGCAGAGGATGGATAGGAACAGGGGGAATGTTTGGCAGAGGTGGAGAAGGTGGAGGATGGTGCAGAGGGAACAGAGGGGAATATGGGATAGGGGTGGGGTATATGGGAAAGACTTAGAGCACGGCTCTAAGTCGGAGCGGGGGATCGGAGGGTCGGAGGTGACAACAAGTTGAGACTTGTGTCCAGAGGAGGCAAGGTCCTACTGAGAATTCTCACAAGATGTAACTGCAAGAAGACAAGTAATATTAAGACTAAGGAAAATATCTAAGTACAGGATATGTTATATACTTCTATGTGAGGCAGTGATCAGGATAACTATGTAGTAAAGCTATGTACCAAGGATATAGTTTGTAAGTACTTTACATAGGCGAAGACATAAGTCGGAGCGGATATCAATATGTACACGTTGGATCAGCGATCAGGGCAGTAATAGGAATTACCGGTGATCCGGAAGTAAGAGTCTATGTACCTGAAGGGGAAAGTGTATGTCTAAAAGGGGAAAGGGATCCAGTTGAATGAAGAGTTTTATGGAAGGGGACCGGTTGAGCGGTTGAGCGGAAGCATAGGGTGGAATGTGGGTTTGGGATAGGATGGAGCGGAGGATGGATGGGGCGGAGGGGGTCGGAAAGCTGGAGTGGATATCAATATCGGAGCGGTTCGGATCTGGTATATAACAAATGCACAGAAAGATGCTGGTAAGGCTTGGGAATTATACAGGATACTGGGCCTACAGTGGGGACATTCCCCACAACAGTAGAACTCATCCACACTCAAAATAGTATGCCCCAAGTTTGCTGACTCAACCCCTGCTCCCTAATGTCCTCATAGCTGTCATTTTGAGGTGGGTGCTGCCCTGCTTGCGGCACCTACATTGAGCATCAACATTCACCTGCAGTGTTATATCCCATACCTCCAGACCCAGAATTCTGGATTCTCCCCTATGAAAGTCTGTGTCTCCATCCTATTTTCTGTCCTGTTGTCCACCCGGCGCTCCACTTTCATCTCCAGACTCACTACTTATCTCCTTTTAGCATACTGCTCTCCAGTTACCGGTTGTACACCTTTCCGCTTTGCTTACTGATCCATCTATCTGCACTTCATTTCCAACTTCATTTCTTTGATCTGTTGTACACTTACTAAAAGATTTCCCATATGCTTTGGGCATAGCTTTTACTTTGCTAACTGATTACTTACATGATAGCTACAGTATATAAACTCCTGTAACACTCTAGTACCTCCTCAGTTTGAATATCATCTTAGTTCTTGCTTCTCCAGACTTGAGTCTGATCTCTTGTCAACCTCCAAGTCTTAGGGTTATTCCTTGAGACTACATCTCCAGCTCTACCTTAGGGTAGTCTATCTCTGTTCCGTTTCTACTCTGGACTTGTCTGAAGTAGCCTGACTCTATTCACTCCTAGCTTTCCGGAGTTCGGCTGAACTCCCCCCTGCGTCTGACCTCTGGACTTACCTAGACTTCCCTTCTGCCTCTCGGAAATTAAGGGCATGTACTTGGGTAAGGGGCGCAGCACACGAGCATCACTGCTGCAACTAGCAGCAACAATGATTCAGTGGATAGTACTGAAGTATCTGTCACTGAATTCCCAATACAAACCATTTTTCGTTTCTCAGTTTCCCTCCAGTTACTTCTCATTCCCGAACTGGTCACACAATTTCACTTCCTGTCACAGTTTCACCTCTTCACATATCACCCACTGTATCTCTGATTGGCTCCCCTACTTCACAGACTAGAATGATCTCTCTTCCTATCATTTAATCTCTGTCTATGATATTATTGCTTATATATCATGACTGTCATACTATGTCATCCACAGTTATCATACAACTCTTTTCTTATTGGCTGATTTGTTTCATACTTAGATATCTCTGATTCAATGTTATGTATATAAGTAGGCTAGTTAGCGTAAGTACTCCTTAGACTTAACCTCTTTGTTCTCTACACTTGTAGTAGGCTTAGACGTTCACAGCTCAATCCTATCTTTGCTCTTGCTCATTATCAGCTACGACTGAGTCCTAGTGGTTGTGATCTTACCTTTGCCATTTGGTGAACATTAGTCATAACATTAGGTTAAGTCTTCTTACCACTCCGACTTGAACTTTGTCTTGAACACTTTGTCTTTGATAAACTTCACTGTGCTATTCTGCTGAGATTTATCTCATGGATTATGTTTAAAACAATCATCTTTCCCAGATGCATATTATACCAATCCTTTTATGTACATCTTTAGTAGAAGTAGACAAGGCCCTTGCCTTACAGCGAGCTGCCAGTCTATAATAAATAGTGACAATTAGGTCCTATTCTCACACGTTTTCAGTTTGGCCCCAAACCCTGCCAACTGAACGCTACATATCTTCTTTCATACTATAAAGAATGGCACTCACAACTGTCCTCTCATGGTCTGTTACATTACAATAGGAACTTGTGGGTATAAGCAGACCCAAGGTTTACTGCATCTTTCACAAACTCCTCTTGAGTTCTACTTAGGTTGATGAACCACTACATATGCTATATTCACACCTTTGTCATCATTGCGCCAATATCCAGATCCCATCTCATCAGAGATAGAGCCCTTGTAGCACATGACAACTCTACCTGCCGTGAAAACAACTGCCCATTCCTTCATCTCCAATATCAAGGACCCAACTCAGATCCAGCCCTTCAAGCCAATAGACAGAGCACAGATCCAATCACCCCTGCCCAAAGGATGGCACGCACCAACACAATCATTTGATGAAAGATCCACCATCCCCACAGAAGGCCCCTCTGTACCGCCAGGCATCTCAGGGCCTGGAATGACTATCATCACCCACAGGGACATTTCAGAAGCAATCCATGCTGTTGTTGAACAAGAAAGAGAGTACAGCAAGTTGCACTTCAAGGAGTTGAGGGACCAGATTAGCAAGTTGTCAGACAACCTAGTGGTGGCAAACAACGAGAACACAGTCCTCGTGAGTAAGATCACAGATCTAGAGACCGTGGTCATGGCTTTGCAAACCTTCATCTACAATGTTGACCTTAGCCATCACCTCTGGGAGTTCGAGCTCTGATCTCAAAATGGCTAAACTCACTGAGTTCATGGGAGACAAGAACTCCATTGACATTGACCAATTCCTTATCCAATGCAACATCCACTTTACAGGTTATCCCACCACCACAGACCAACAGAAGGGCAACTGCACCCTTTTGTTCTGCAAAGGCTCTGCGGTGAGGTGGGCAGAGACAGCAGTTCCAGCTGTAATGTCTGGACATTGGAACTACATCCAGTTAAGACGAGAAATGGTCTCTATGTGGGGAATTGCCAACGAAGAGGAAAAGAGGAAAAGATAGCCAGAGAGTTGGATGCACTCAGACAAGGAAACTGCACAGTTGCAGAGTTTGTCTCTGAGTTCTGACAAAAGATGGCATACTGCTCCTTCTCCGACTACAAACTTGGTTGCAAGTTCCAGTTTGCCCTAGATCAACAAGTCAGAAATCAACTGGCTCACGTCAGCCCCAAGGACAAGGATACCTTGGACAAGTTGATCACACAAGCTCAAATGATTGGGCAGAACTTCAAGGAACTTGACTCTGGAAGAAAGAACACTCCATGGACATCCCACCGCCTATGGCAAGGTGCTGCTGCAACATCTGCACCAGTAGCACCAAAGACAGCATTGCAAGGAGGAAATACAATGGATGTGGATGCA